TTATTACTGTATTGTCTCATTTTAACTCTAAAATTCATATGTTTTTTTATTCTAAATCAATTTTTATTTTGATGGTGGTTTCTTCCAGTCTCAATGTTAGCTAACATACATTATTGTTTGTGCAACACAGACTAACAACAATAAGTCCTGACATGCGACCCCACAGAGCCATGAATACATTAAGCAGCATGTCTTCCACCAGCTTAAATACTCCCTGCAGTATTTTATTCCCCACAAAGGGGAGTCTCTCGCAACTCGAACTCATGACCTTATAGACAAATATTCATTATTCCCATGAGTCAATACTATTATTCTTTTGTTAAACTAGGAAAAAAATGTATTCATCTTAAAGAAGAGAATTTCCAAAAACAAAAAAAAAACATTCAGTGGATTGTGTATAGCACAACACTCAAAACAATTCACTAAAAGATAACATCTGACACTCAACACCTTTTCCTCAACATTGGACATAGTTTTATTGTTGGAGCTGGCGGCTACTATTGGTGAGAACAACAATCATGCATAGATATGATAGGATAATCAACCTAGTCGCTCAGTAGTGTGTTATGTAATGAAAAAGTTGTTCAATGAACTTATACTTCAAAATGTAATGGGCCTAATCCCACTACAAGATATGATTAATTTATCAATTATTTTAATATTTGAGAAGGGTTAGATAAATAAGTTTGAATATAATATTATGCTGATACCAAACAATAATATATTGTATTAATCTATCTTATGTAACCTAATACACCATGCCGTATAGGGAGTCATAAGGTGGTTACTGTTTGCTCTTTATTTTGGTTAAACAGTGCCTGTTACTAATGCCCTTTCTCTAAGCAAATTAAAAATCTAGTTTCCAACTTTCATTTCTCTGTTTTAAATTAAATTAAAATATTGTCTAGCGTGCAATATCTTAAAGGTTAGGTCCTGATTTAGTTCCACAGTATCGGTGTTCCAGTAATTGAGTTTGCTTACATTGTATTAGCAGGATGAATAATTGAGTCTTATTCTGGAAAGGCGAGTTTCCTTTATATTGTGTTGAATAAAACTTCTGCTGATAAGAAGAATCTAGTGTGCGTTATCTTACTGAAAAGTATTTGGTACACCAATAGTTTCTTATGGAGTACATTTATGAATGAGATGTAGAAAAACCAAAAAAATCAAAGGTTTGATTTTTATGAATGACGCTTATTAGTAAGACAGTTACATATTCCAAAAAAGATTAGTTAACATATATAACAATATAATTCATAATTAGAAACATATAAAATTATAATTCATAATATGATATTTAGTCCCAAGAAGATGTGATTTGAGCGTGTAAATGAACTTCTCTTTCATATTTTTTGAACTCAACTTAGACATAACATTTCATAGGATTCGTACAACTTTTGTTCTAATTTCATATAATTGGTGAATGATTCTTACATTGTAACCTTAATTTAATTTAGTCAATCTTTATGAGGCTACAGTTTTTGTGTTACATAAATTTGAGACAACATATAGTGGATGAGTTGTTTTGCTTTTATTGTAACTTGGCTGTTCATTGACTCAACTTTGATTTGATGAGAGATAAATGAAGAAACTCCACTATATTTACATTCCAAGATGAAAACATATTAATGCAATTATACGTTATCAAGAAACCGTGCATATATCACGAAAAAGGTGAAGTACAAATTTCAAAATCGAAAGGAGAATATTCATGTCAAGTTCTGTTTTTCTGTGTCTTAAAGTTAGTTTGGCTAAGATCCTGTAGCATCTTGCCATTCCTACATCAAATGATCAAAAAAGTTTTTCATTAAATAGGGTAAATTCTAGTGAAATTATGCCTATATCTTTTTTTTTTGTACATATATAAATTACAATTTTATATACTAGCGTGTTGGTGGACAATGTCATATCTGTCAACTAGCTTTTCTATCATTTGTAACATTAAACACTTAATAATATGAAAATGATTAACAATAAAAGTAAACATATTATAATATGAAATGAGTATTTCGTATAATTACATAATGAATTATATAATGTAATATTTAATATTACAGATGGTACTTACTTATAATAGTGATTAAAGAACTATTATTGCGGTTAAAAAGTAGTAAGAATTTACATTGAGAGACATGTAAATTTATAGAAACATAATAATATCATTATTATCCATTACAACTTGTTAGGGGTAAAATATGCAAACTGAAATTACTCAATGTGCTAGTTATTTCATGTTTTTGCTTTATAAATTAGTATAGATATATATAAAATAAGGTTTTAAAAAAAAGTGATGAATGTAATTTATTTAAACAAAATATGGTATATTATTAAGACAAATCTAAATGGTATACAAATTTAAATGGTATATTATAAAATACATCAATAATTCTAATTCTAAATCCCTAAAAATAAAGTTAATTGTAACAGCATAATATTAAACAAAAGAAGTTATTTATTATTAAAAGGCAATATTCTTCACTTCTCTGTACTCAGATGCATGTGGATTTCTGTAATTAAATCCCAGATCTAAATCTCTGTTCTACTCTTAGGCAATCATTCAAATTTAATTAAGCTGAATCCACTCCTTGAAAATTAAAAAAATGGATTTTAAAAGATTACCCTTTCTAATAAGTTCAGCTTATTTAAATCTTATTGTCAAGGGGGACACCTAAAATGACATTCTCCTCACCAAATATATTTTATACAAGGGAAAGGAGAGAGGATTTGATGTGATAACTGAAAACATATTTTTTGCCCCACAAAATCAATCATGTTATTCCATGTGCCATCAACTATAATTGATGAAAAAAATACTTAATAATTAAATTTTTAAGTTAAATACATTTTATTTAATCAATCATAACTAATAATACATAGAATGACTGAACAAAATATGTGGTCCAGTAATTATGTTTTCTAATAAAAAGAATTGAGGGAATCGAAGAGGGTGTGGCAAAGGGTTGTGGAGTTTGAATAGGAATCCGAGAAGGCCTTGAAATTGAAGCCATTGCCGGTATTATCTAGGGCTAAAATATTCTACATAGTGGAAAAGAGGAGATAATATTATAGGGCCACTAGAGTTCAACAACTAAAATCCAAAGTTTTATTATATTTTAAATGCTAGAAAGGAAAACATCATTAGATTATGATTAAGGATTACAAATTTTGCAGAAAAAAAGTCAGCTTACAAGGACCCGTTTACTCACACTTCTAAAAAATTCACTTGCCTTTGTCACCTGCCTGTCTCCTAACATATTATTTTCCCAAATAATCTTAGTTTTAGTCCAACATTATAAAAATATTAATAAGGGTTATAAGAATATAAATATAGAAATAGTATTTTTTACCTTAAAAATCATTATCTTATAAATTGATAATTCACACTAATAAATAATAATTAGAAGATTTTATGTAAAATGAATATACATTATATTTAATCGGGTCTATGGTCGGATTTGGATTCAGAAAAATATTTCGTACAACATTTAGGGTCGGGTAAGGAAAAACCTTAACCCATCCCAACTCGGCCCACACTCACCCTACTTACAATAGAGAACCAAATTCAATAGATAATAGTGTTTTAAATTATACTCTGTAATTGCTATTCTGACCACGATATTGTGGTTTTTTGAGCTTTTGTAATATCATCATGATCACAATTGCATCCATATGAGATACAACTTTTCAAAGTCAATCTAACCACAATCAAAATTTAAAATACTTATATATGCCCACACAGGTTAAACATTTCCATCTAAATTAAATCTTGTGATAAAAGAAAAGATTAGGCTAAAGAAGCAAATGCTTTAAAATCAGAACAAATATATAGCATCTAAAACTTGACAACAGAGAATGGTAAGGGAACTGTAGGGTTGGGTTTTAGTGGGTGATAGAAATGATAGTTGAGCATAGGAGGAGATTTCTTAAAAGAAGAGAACATACATTTGATTGATAATTAGTTGAAGGAGTATTTTGGTGGGTTGAAGAGCCTAAATTTTCATATATAGTAGAACACATTTCACTACCACATATCTTACTATGAATCTCATAAGTCCTATTTATAGAACCCCTCCAGAATCTCATAAAACTTCTAGACAATACATGATATATCTATCATAATGTAATTTATCTAAAATTCTCTAGACACAAGCTAAATATTATGCATTGTCACATTCCTATAGAAGTCTCTAGAAACAAAACTAAATATGTCACAATCATATAAAAGTCTATAGAAAGTTGTGGCACATTTCAACAAGAACAAATTCAATTCGAGTGAGACTCATCTCTAGTAACTTTATTTTAAATAAAAAAGACACAAATATCAATAAATGTTCTTTTTATTTTAATATTCCACATCACTTCTCTGTTGGTGGCTAGAAATTCAGTCAATATGAGACATGGTGATGTTTTCATGGGGACGATTATTCCCTTTTCTATGTTTTTTCGTCGTTTCCTTTGGATTTACCTTCCTTGACAGTATGGTGAGTGTTTGGACACGTGCATATGGCTGTTTTCTAATAACAGTGCCAAAATAAGTTAACAATTAGCCTGGTCTTTAAATTCTAATGGCAATCTGCCAATCCATTATTGTAAGCATTTTTACAACATTATTTTTGGCATCTATCAATCTTCTTCGTGAAATGACCCATACTATCATCTACTTTGAGTAGGTTTAAAGGACACAAAAGATTTTCCCTTTTGTGGAAAATGAAGATTAAAGGTGTTTGGGTAGGGTTCGGTTTTCCAGTCACACTCACTTATGAAACATAATGGTTTTCACTTTTTGGCAGAAACAGCATTTGTTATGATATGATTTAAATGGTTGAAAGTTAGAGTAGATTAATTAAGCTGAAATAACTTTTAAATAATATGAAAACAAAAAGTAACAAATTATGGGATAATCATTCCAAATATGAGTTCAGCTTTCTTCCGACCTCATCATGTGTCATCATACACACTTGCTTCACCTCACTTCTCTATATTTCTCTGTCTTGATCCCCACCCTTTTCTTCTCTCTTCCCTGTAGCTTTTCAACGCCACCCATAACATCTTAGTTTTTTATTCCACCTAAAAAGTAGATAATTGAATTGACACTGTAACGTATGAGAGAGAGAAAGGAAAGGACATAGGATTCCATATAGCATATATCAGTTTGTATTGTTTAGGGTTGGAAACTTGGAACTATATAATTAACAAGGCTAGCTCCCCATTCTCTTGGGTTTTCTCCTAATTTCAAATACTAATATATATATATATATATATATATATATATATATATATACTTTCTCATATCTTAGTCATATTTAACTGCTTCTTCTTTTCTTATAATCTGAGTCAAACTTATAGTTTAAGAAGCTGCTTTGAGATGCTAGAAAAAATGGATGGTGGAGAAATATCATATGGTTTTCTTCATCAGAACACAACCGGTGCATCTAATAACACTCCTGCATTGAAGAGGAAGAGAAACCAACCTGGAAATCCAGGCATGACTTTTCTTTCATTATTGCTTACAGTTATATTCTTAGCTTCCTTATTTTCTCTACTTTTTGTTTAATCATTGAGCATTGTAAAGTGTAAACTTAAGGGTGATACTTTTGGCAACATCTATCATGTGTATAGTACAAAATACTGGTACTTTATGCTAAACATGAAAAGTTACTGGGCTATCAGGTTTAACCAAACATTTTCATTTATCACAAGTATATTCAAAGCTGAATCACATGTATATTCAAAGCGGAACAATTTGTTTTTATTGAAAAAAATGCTTTGTTTATATGAATCTTATTTATGCACTGCAGATCCTGAAGCTGAAGTGATAGCCTTATCACCAAAGACACTAATGGCCACAAACAGATTCGTTTGTGAAATTTGTCTAAAGGGTTTCCAAAGGGATCAAAATCTTCAACTCCATAGACGTGGGCATAACCTTCCTTGGAAGCTAAAGCAGAGAACAAGCAAAGAAGTAAGGAAGCGAGTTTATGTGTGTCCAGAGAAGACTTGTGTGCACAACCATCCCTCAAGGGCACTTGGAGACTTAACTGGGATTAAAAAGCACTTCTGCAGAAAGCATGGTGAGAAGAAGTGGAAATGTGAGAAGTGCTCTAAAAGGTATGCTGTGCAGTCAGATTGGAAAGCACACTCAAAGACTTGTGGCACCAGAGAATACAAATGTGACTGTGGAACTATCTTTTCACGGTAGTTATCTGTTAATCTTTTCTTGCATATCAAAAAATGTTATACACACAAGCATGTATGGTATACTTTGACTTTTTTATTACCGTTTTGGTGTAACTTTTGCAAAATTTATGGGGATGGTGTACTTTTTACAAAATTCGTGGTCAAAGTATATCATACATGTAAATTTCCCTTATCACACACATACATATATATATATATATATATATATATTATAGGTAGAATTTCTTTTTCAAGAAAAGGGGAGAGGGTAAATAGTGATAGTAACCCAATAATCTTATACAAAAGTGGTAACTTGTCCAGTGGTCTTCAAAATAAAGAGTATAGCTTTCATCATGCAGTAGTGGACTAATTGCTCTCAAACCTTTTATATCTGCAGAATAAAATATTATTGATAGAGAAGGTAGATCTAGTTGCTCTAAACCTAAAGATAGAGAAAAAAATGAATCATATAGCTGAAGTCTGTGGTGGTGATATCGTTGTTTCTAACTCTTATTGTCTATGGTGTATGTGGTTGTGACTCGATGTTTCTAACTCTTATTGACCTTTTTACATGCATTATTCTATTTATTTTATTTAAATTATTGCTTATTATCAATATTGATGGAGCAGGAGGGATAGCTTCATCACTCACAGGGCCTTCTGTGATGCATTAGCAGAAGAAACAGCTAAGGTAAACGCAGGATCAAACATGGCTTATAGCCTCATGCAAACTTCTATGAGGCCTGACATGGCAACCGATTTCTCTTCAATTTTCAAGCCAATTTCAAATACTGAGGAACCAAGTGATCAAACATATCGGGAACTATCCCTTTGGAATATGGGTCAAACATCTCAGGCTCATGAAACATTTATCAATGGCAATTTGCATGAGATTCATCAACTTGGTTCTGCTACAAGCCAAGGAGGGACACTATATAGTGGTGGCAACCCACTTGTTGTTTCAAGCTCTAACCCTCCACCCTCTAATTATCAACTAAATTGGGTGTTTGAGAATAAGGTCTCATCCAATGGAAATCAAGATTTAACAAGCACTACTACTTCACTTCCACTAGTGAATAATCTTAAGGATACTACAAACCAGCTTGTAAGTGTTCCTTCCTTGTATAGCTCTCAGCACCAATCCAATCGCACAACTTCAGAAAACATCTCAGCCACAGCTTTGTTGCAAAAAGCTGCACAAATTGGGGCAACTTCTTCAACTGAGCCATCATCCCTTGGGAGCTTTGGTTTGAAATCTAGTAACGGTCAAGGTCAAGATGGGAACAAATTTTGTGGCATGTATGGTTCAAGCTCAGTGCTCACTAGTCTTGGGAGTGAGCAAGATAATTCTCTAAGTGATTTGTCACATATGCCCCTTTCAAAGAGAAGGCATGTACAAAATGAAGAGGGTGCAGCCGGGGGGCAAACTAGGGATTTTCTTGGTGTTTCCATGCAAACCATTTGCTACCCTTCATCAATCAACGGATGAATTTGATTTGATCATGTATTCAAATTAATGTGAATTTCAATTTTAGTTATTTTTTCTGAATAGAAGAGGAAAATGGTGAATGCATGAAGTTGTTGAAGTTGGAGAAGGATCAATAGACATTATTCTAAAATATGGCCGCTTTATTGTTACAATTATATATCTTGCATTTATCAGCATTGTGGATTACTGTGGATAGACAATGGGTCAGATTCACAATTATAATGTGGTTGCATAGACTTTCTGATACTATAGACTCAAACCTTTTCAGGGAGGAAAAGTTGGGAATTGAGTGCATGATGAAGGCTGGAAAGTTTGTTGTTAGAAAACTATTTGAAGGGTTGAAAGAAGAGATCCATGCATATTCTTTTGAATCATGAAAGCTGATTCCTTTATAAAATGATGGCTTTAATTTTTGATAAAGGGATTGGAGGGTTTGTCGAGTAGTGGGGACAAAGGATAGGACCACTTTTTGACTCCATTATTGCTTAGTTTCATCTCTTTTGTGGTTAGTTATGGCTTGTTGCCTATGAAACTGGACTCAAAAGGAGAACTTCCAGACATAAAAGCATGATTCTAGTACTAGGCTTTTAGCCTATTTATTATTGAAATAAACTAATATGCCCTTTTATTCCTCCAACAATGCCTTAGTGTAGTATAACGATACCAGCTATCTATTATATGAACTTTCTTTTAAGAAATAGAGAGATGCACAAGGTAAATATTTTTATTTAAAAAGCATGATTGAGACTATTGAATATGGAGCATATACAATAATTTTTTACAGTAATCTATTGTTATATTTTTGCTGTCATCGTCTAGGTGGTATTGAAATTCACTTGTGCTATCCATGCGCAAATGTTGTTGAAGTTGTATAACAATACGTTGTTGAAGTTATTGCAAATGTTATTCTTTTGGTATCAATCATACGTTGGTCTAGTGGTGTAAGGTTTCGCTAGATCCCAAGACCAAAAATATTAAGTGTTCAATTCATATGAACAACATTTGTTGCGAGGACTGTCAAACCCCGAAAGAGATTAATTTCTTATCCATTCGGTGATGTGATATCCTTCGTAATACAAAAAAATGTTATTCTTTTGGTAGGAGGGCAATCCTTCTGTTGATTCTTAGTTAATAGTGTAACTTTTATATAAATTTTTGGGTAAGTTAGATACCCAAATATGGAGCAAACCTCACAATTTTATGAGCAAATGTATTTTTTCCAAGCACATAGATAAATGTACCTACCACACCTACCCCAAGATTCAAGTAAACAGCTACACAAACATGAGCATTCCCTTCCCGCACCCCAAACAACTTCATGAGCTACAGTTTCTGTCACATAATGACTATGCAAGAGACACCTCTTACCTAAATACAAATAAAAATCCCAGCCACAAATTACAACATCAACACTTCCAGTCCAAGTAACAAAACAAGCTTAGCATCTGATTTGAGAACAACTCGTACAATGATATTACTAGTTTTGAACTCATAACCTTTTGGGTTATGAATCAATTCCTTGTCAATTGGATTAAACTTTGTTAGCACAAACAATGTATCTTAAACTAAGGATTAGTTTTTTTATCAGAAAAATATAAGCTTTATTAGTACAAGAAAGGAAACACCACAGTATTTTGTTTTAAAATAGGGATAGTTTCCATACCTAAATAATCAGTCCATGTAATTCAACACCAATTATAGTTTAAATTCCTGAATTTAATTATTGTACACGTCAAACAATATTTTGAGATACTTGCGTGCATGTATAAGTATTGGACCTTTTCACTGTTTTGCATTAGATTTAACAGTTACCCTATATGCTTGATTGCATTACATCGATCAAAAGTGAAAGAAACAGTATAAAAGAGAAGGCTTATTCTTCAGTTTTGACTGCCACACTCTCTGCTCTATGATGATGCCGTGGTGGATAATGGATGTGACATATTATCAAGTTACTATTCACGACTATACCTTAAAAATGTAATATTTGATTGAAAATATAACACATGCCTAAGGATGTGACAGCATTTGATAAATTATAAGGTTTATATGTTGGAAAGATATGTCATCATGTAATAATTGACATGCTTGAGTCCAGTTGTAAAACATTTTTGCTTTCTTGTGATCTGACAGCACAATTGTGATGCTGTCCTCTGAACACTTAATTAATTAGTTAATTTTGTCTGCAGATATGTAGGATAATTTAGGTTTCTGTCATTAGCCCTATGCAAATACAAGTAGTCATTAATCATGAAATTTGTCTATACATATATGCTATGTTTATAGAAAAAATTAAATAACCTCAGCTACAAAATAAGGTGCCCAACTCTACTGAAATCTTTTGTTAATTAACTGACTTGTCTCTAGAAAAAACGTTTGTCCAGTTACATTCACCCTATTATACATGTTCCTAACTCAAATGACACTTGATTGTCTTACAAAGGAGATATATGTATTCGGGACAAAAACAACATGGTTAGAATCTTCTCCAAAGAGGTATTGTTTTTCTTTTAAGTTTTAAGGGTAAAAAGAATACAAATATTATTGTAGATATTTCTTTTTTATTTTTTAACAACAATTATTTCTTGAGTACCGGAGAGAAGATTGATTTAAAAATATGTATTCAACTTTCATTTTTCTTGCCTATATCACTCAATCTATTGGTTGGAATTAATTACTAATAACATTGACACTAAAAACATCCTCTAATTTCTTCATCCGGTCAAAGTGCTTTAACCACTTGAACTTTAACTAAAAAAAAAATTAATTTGAATTTAACTCGATTTGAAACTCAGGTCAATTCTTAACAAATCGATTTAAGATAAACTCGACTCATTTTCAGAGTTATTAAAAATGTTTCATGCCGACCGGTTGAACCGGTAAATCGGTGAACCAATTCCAATACCTGTACGATACAATACAATAATTATATCGGTCATGCAATTATACTGGTAAAAACTGGTCATGCTGGCCGGTTTTCAATTGAACCGTACCGGTCATACCGGTCGATTTTTATTTAAAATTAATTTTTTAGTGAAAATAAAAATAATTATTGTTTTTTATTGATTTTTCAGCATCAATGTTAATATATTATACATGTATATCAAACTTTACCAGTATGCAGTTTAATTAGTGAACCATCTGTTAAATCGCTATACCACTGTACCAGTACCTCTACTGGTTTGATGACAAATACAATATTAATATCATTGCTGATTTTCATTCATGGGCTACACTATTAAAAATAACAATATATTTCTTAACTTGTGGGCTACACTATTAAAAGACAATTAATCAGGAATAAAG